TCTACCGTAGACGATAGTGCACAGCTATATACCCTTGTCAACGGTATGACGAAAGAGAAAGACGGCGACGTCTCCCGCGAGGCTATTCCCGTGTTGGATGCTCTTCTTGAGCTGGATGAAATTTTCGTCGAGTTTTGCGGGGCCTTGAAGGCAAACAATTTAGCCGAGGTGGTCATTATAAGACCGAACGGGATGAAGTTGTCTTGGAGGACACTAAGAGGGTACCAAGCGCACGAAGTGGAAAGGAACTCCAAGACGTCGCCTCCAAAGACTCGCCGTCAGTCTTACGATCGATCACGATCGAGGTATGCGTCTTGAGATTGACCTGGTTCCGTGACCCAAATACTGCGTAACACGCCAATGACCCCTGCGTAAAAAGCAGTGTGACGTCGTTGACGCCTATTTCCGTGCTTGAGAGCAAGTCTCCCCATTCGACAACCACGTTTTGTATCCGGAAGCTGCGCGGCAAGTGGCGTATCGTTCGCACTTATAATATGCTAAATGTTGCCATCATTCCGGCACAAACGCCGACTTCCAGATAGGTTGTTCTCTAGAACAATATGGTTGGCTGTACAAATTACATCGCACTCGACTTGGTCGATGGTAATAACAAATTGCTCATGATAGCGAGTGATATTCCGCTGACCGAGCGGGATGCTCTGGGAGTGGCTGGTGATGTTCCAATCGCTGTCACATGCACCAGGAACATTTAATCGTCATGTGACGCAGTTGTTCAGACCTCGTCAGGCGTATGCACAGACATACTTCGACGGCATCTTCGTCCACAGTCGTGCGGGGCACGGGAGGACAGATGAAGAAGCCACATCGTCCATTTGAGAGCGGTGCTCGAGTGCATGCGCACGAATAAGCTGTATGCTAATGCAGACAAGTGCATCTTCGAAGCTAAAATAGTCCTCTTCTTAGGGTGCTTCATTAGGAACCTTGGCCTTCGAGTGGATCCCGCTAAGGTCAAGGCCATTGTGAACTGGTCGGTTTAAAAAAACCAAGAGAACTTGCGCAAGTGGCTTGACCTCGCCAGCTACTTGCACAAGTATAGCGCAAATTATGCAGAAATGGCACGGCCATTAATCTCTTTAAGAAGAATACAGAATGGTGTTGGGACACCGAGCATCGGCAGGCTTTTGACAGCGTCAAAGACAGCTTCCTTCATGCACCAATGCTGGCGTTGCAAGACCCCGATCGTCCTTTAAGTGTTGTCTGTGACGCTTCGGACTTTGCCATTGGCTGTGGATGATGGCGTTCGAATCTTGCCAGCCCAAGGCTGCTGAGAGGTCCTACCCGGTCCACGACAAGGAACTACTTGCGATGAAGTATGCAGTTGTCAAGTTCAGGATGCACCTGCTTGGCTCAAAGCCGTTTATGATCTACACAGATCATGCGTCATTACGCACTGCGACTGAATCGCCTCACCTCTTGCAGAGGATGACCAGGTGGCTCTCATTCTCTGCAGAATATAACTACGATGTGAAGTATAAGCCAGGAAAGCATAATGCTTTGGCTGATGCGTTGTCACGCAGACCGTACTATGAGTTTGCTCATGTCACGACGATGACGTCGTCAGTGACGGATTTGATCCGCGCCGCTACACGGGTGATAGTATGTGCGTAGCGCTGCTACAGGCACTCGAGGGCAAGGAGTTTGGAAACTCGGACAAAAAATTGTCACCGCGTTACACCGATATAAATTGTGTAATGGATTGCTGTATTATAGCACCGGTTCAACGGATACGCCACGAATTGTGGTTTCTCACGATGAGATTTTAGAGTACTGTATCCTCTATGAGGCCCACGACATGATCATCACGTTCGTGAGATGACGGAGGTGTAAGTTGCCACTACTGGTGGCCCAAGTTGTACAAATGGACGAGAACATGTGTGCGCACGTGTCAGAGAGTAAAACCCTCTCCGAATGCGGCGGCGCCGCTGGCCAGTTCAACGGTACCCTTTGGGTGTTGGCAGTCCATGAGTATGAACTTTGTGTTTGACCTGCCGAAGGACTCGGCAGACAAGACGGGTGTGGGAGGAATGGCCGAACGGCTAGCTGATGTCAGCCCTCTCACCGTGCGTAAACCAGTCGGAGACTTCCTGTCTACTAGTCGGAGTGTCTTACAAAATGTTCGCGATGCGATGGCTGAAAGCCAAGACATGCAAAAGGAATACACAGGCGGAAGAGGTAGAGAAGAAGTTGAAAACTGTGAGGTCGGAGACCCTGTTTAATCGTTAAAAACTTCCTGACACATGCAGTCTAAGTTCCATTCAAGGTTTATTGGACCTTCTAAAGTCGTGACCAAGCGAGGCCTTGCGTACGCTAGAGATTCCGAAAAGGATGCGCACCCACCCGGTGTTTCATTTGGGCTTGCTTAAACCGTACCGCAATCCGGCGCAAGTGAACGCGGAAGCGTTGGCGCCGGGTCGGCGCTCGGCCGCCCAGAAGTTGAACCAGCAAATGGTTCTGAGCACGAAGTATTACAACTTCCGTTTTCAGCGGCGCAAGGCGCTCCATCGTCACACGAAGTGACGTATTCGCCTTCTCGACGGCTAGGAGCCGCTCCGACAGAGCACGATAATCCTCAACGTGAGGCAGTCGG